TCCTAAATATTTCATGGTCTTAAAGAAAAAAATAAACTAAGGATTTGAATAAGTTTGGTGTCACTGAAAATCACTGTCTTCCCTCTGGAAGTCATAGAGATGGTGTTTCTCTTCCCTCTAGTGGTCCTGGCTTTCAAAATGGTGCTGGTAACTTCAGGAGCATTAGCCAGTATTTCTCAGAGAATGCCAACACTGATGAAACAGGGAAGAGAGAACAGGCTGTATTGGATACCTGAAGCTTCTCAGTGGTTTGATGAAAATGCATGTGTAGTACATCACCTATAAAGAACACGTGACAGTGGGAACTAGCTTGAACTGAAAACATCTCTCTTCCTAAAAATGGAAATACAACTCCGCTGTGATAAGAATAGGGATTTTTCTACCAATAGTGTGTTAGAAGGCTAGCCTATACAGTCGTTAATTGTAGTAAATCAGCATGCCAGAAGGCACCAGTGTGAAACTCCTGTTTGCTGCTAAGTGATAATTTACAGAAACAAACGTAGGCTAAAATGCAGTGTAACATTTTTGTAAAATCTGTCCCTTCTGTTTCCAGGAGGGGGAGTCAGCAAGCAGAAGCTAATCGGCAAGTCAAATAGTAGGAAGTCTAAGTCTCCGATTCCTGGACAGGGATATTTGGGAACCGAAAGACCTTCTTCTGTCTCATCTGTACATTCAGAAGGGGACTACCACAGACAGACTCCAGTGTGGGCCTGGGAAGACAGGCCTTCATCAACAGGTGAGAAATGGGTCTCTTTCAAACTTGTCAAACAGATGTGATGTTTGTAGAAAGGTCAGGTGTAGACATACTATAACACTGGCATATTGGTTGGAAGATGACAGCATATAAGGATTTTCCGAAACAGATTTTCTGCTAGTTGTCACAACCAAAACCAGACTATCTTTCAGATACAGATCTCTTAGAACAGCTCATGTTTTTGACTTGGAGAAACTCTCTTTGATTCAGGTTCAACACAGTTTCCTTACAACCCGTTGACGATGAGGATGCTCAGCAGTACACCGCCAACATCCATTGCGTGTGCCCCACCGTCCATGAGCCAAGCAACCACTCACCAACAGAACAGGATATGGGAGCGAGAGCCTGCACCACTGCTTTCAGCACAATATGAGACTCTGTCTGACAGTGATGACTGAACTATGCAGATTTTTTTTTTTTAATTTGCGGGTCAAAAAAAAGAAATCTATCTTTGACTTGTGCCCATAGAGACTTTCCAAGAGAGCAAGGGCCACACAATGAAGAATTAATGGAGAGTCCGTTAAATGCCTTCTGCACAGGCCATGTGTTGGAGGATCGTGATCAAGAAGGTTGACTTAGTAAAGATAAATATGTAAAGAGTTTTTAAAAATGTGGACTATTCCTGTTCTACATCTATTTGTAAAGAAAACCATAATGTCTTTAAATCATTCTTCTGTAAATAGAGAGTACTTTTTGCAGTGTTTTTTCCCTTGCTATAGTATCTGGTGTACTTATGTTCAAATCATTGCCTAAACTTTGGGGGTCATTTTGTAATTTTTTTTAAGCATTTTCTCCAGTGTAGAGTACTCTTCATAACCCTAGCCTCCCTACCAGCCTAGCCTAACCATAACCCTAGCCTCCCAACCAGCCTAGCATCATTGCCCATTTAATGCCGTGCCACTTCTTGCAGGCATTGTGCTTTTATATAATTTTTTCCCTAGACACACTTTCTCAGTGGTGTTCAAGCTCTTGTGAACATGTTGATTTTTAAGACTGACCCCTTAATGAATTCTGTACATTAACATAGTCCGGTTCGCTGGAATAAGATGATATATTTCTTTGAATTTTAAATTCTGCCACATTGTAAATTTTTGGTGCAGTTGGTTTTATTTAGCACACTGCAGAAATATTATTGCATGGGTATGTTATGGTTCATTTTTAAAAGAAGAAAAAAAACAGCTTCTGGAAGCATACCTCACTGTTATGCACACTGGGAATTTTAACTGTGCCCCAAAAGCCTACCTTAAGTGTTTTCTGTTTCTGCATTGTATGCAGTCAAAACAGGCTACTAAATTTTACTGTCATATTTAACCACAGCAAATGGCTTATCTGAACAGAGGCTCTGGGTGGGTTGATAAATCCTTTAAGAAGAAAAACATCTACATCCCAAGTTCAAATAAAACAAAATGCTTTTATAGAATAATTGAGCAACACACGAGTCAACTACGTGGCTTCTGTTACCACCAGTTTGAAATAGGTACTGTGATTTTTACCTTCCTCCAGTCTAATTTTAAAATCGTTACATGATAATTGTTTTAAAGTCTGCATCCCCATCCCAATCCCTAGTCCTATAAGCAAGCTTTTGGTGGAAGTCCTTACAAATGCTTGGCTTAACTCCTAAAGTGTGCAATACATGTTAGGGCGATTTTTTTTTTTTTTAATTGTATATGGTACTAGGAGAGTCTCCTTAATCATTCATCTATCAATGCCTGCTATGATATGCTTCTAGCTCGTACATCTGGTTAGCGATATCACAGGGTGTCCTGACATCCATCTTCAAAGCATCTTATTTTTTGCTGCACTGACCTCGGGAAGTGAATTTAAATCTTCCGGAGTAGGAGGACTGATTTACAGGTGGCACTGAGTTGGGGGGTGGCGTGGTCTGTCAGATTCCAAACTGCTTCTGCATCTCATGGATGAACAGAGTCTTTGCCTTGAAGTTATTTTCCAGTCAAAATATTTTTAATTTAACGCTGTATTTGCGATACGGTGTGTGGAAGGTATAATGTAGCTGTGTAACCTTAAGCCATGTAAGCTCTACTTCTTATGGAAGGACTGTAATGGTCCAGTTACAAACAGGAAGAAGTACAGAACTATTTATCGATAGCAAATTTACTTTGAGTACTTCAGAGGAAAGCCTTTTTGCCCCAAGTCTGGGAAAGAAAAAATCCAAAGGAACTCATTTGGAAACTTGACACTGCGTTGCAAATACAGAATTATTTTGCTACTTTTTTAAAACACTGCATCAGAGTAGATCAGTTGGCAGTCTTAAGTCTCCTCCTAGTCTTTCTCTAAGAAAGTTGTTTCGTTTTTTTTTCCTCTCCTTCCCATCCTTTACCCTTCTGGCTTAAAGTGGTGAATTTCTCATTTTTATGTTTGTAGACCTGTGCTCTTATTTTAACTTTTTTGTTCCCACAGCAGCATATACTGGAAAACAAGTTGATCTACCCTTTTTGTAGATTTAAATTTGGAGTGGAGAGTCGATTTCCATTCTAAAACTCACTTGGTTCTCACTTTTAGTGTAACAAATACGTGAAAGAGGCATGTACAGACAAATGTCTTTGCTAACTGTACAGTAAGTATAGCATGTTCATTGCAAAGCTTCATGTTATTGCTGCTGCAGCAGCAAGATCTCCAAAGTAGGATAGTCACTTTCTCCTAAGATACAGCTTGAGTGGCATTTGCACATAAAATGTTGCTGCTTTTTTGTTTGTTATCAGAGTTCTAACTTCTCCAGTGTAAAAAACCTCTCCAGAGCCTAAGTTAGGGTTTACCACAATTCCAGTAATCTTCGAGTATGGAATTACATCTGACCTGTTTCAAACAGGAAGGTGTTTGTAAATCATGTTTACAAAGTGTAGTTTACTACAAATTTTTAACTGATTTCTGATCAGCGCTTTCACAATGCTTTCATCTTGATATGTTTCGTGATTCTGATATGAAATCATTTAAGACTTGAAAAACCCATGCATCATAAAACTCAACTTTTTTTTTTTTCCACACAATGTCTTCAGTAGACAGTGACTTCTGGATTCAGACCAATCAATAAAGGGGATCAGTTCTCCATTTGCTTTTCCTGTGTCTCCCTCTTGTTTTGCAGCATCAGGCTATGTTCATGAGAACAGGCAAAACACTTCCCTCAGGGGGTGCTGCAGGGTTCCCAGTTAACACTGCTGGAGGTTCGAAGGTCTGCCACTTAAAAACCAAAACCCAGACCTTTAAAGAAGATTGGCTCTAATGTGTTAGAGTCTTTCTGTTAGTACAAGCATGCCTGTAACTGCCATATTTTTACTTCCTAGCTTGCTGAGAACAAAGCTGTATACGTGACTTGAGTTTTTCCAGCTTCGGTGAACATCTACTGTAGAAAACCTGCGTGCTGCTTCTTAGCTCAAAGTTAAGCAGAGTTGAAGCCACTAATGCTACTGTAAGTAAACTAACAGTGATGCAATTAACATTAAGGGATATACCAAACAAACAGCTGAAGTTCTTGCAAATGAGAAGTTAAAATAATGCTTGGTTAGTGACAGAATTACAGTTTTACTATCCTATGTAATTATGGATTTGATAACTTCTGGTTTAATTCTCCTTTAACACGAGGCTTCCCTGCAGGGCAGAACTGAAAAATTCTGTAGTACAAGCAGGCTGTTCATGCTAGATTCACATGAAGGCATGTACCTTACAAACCCGATGGTATGTACATACCATCTTTTCCAACAGGAAGCCTCAGCATTCTAGCACTGACCTATCCAAGAAAGGAGGACAGCTTTAGCACTTAGTGTGCTCTTGACTGCAGTAAGGTGGCTGAGTGTTTTTTTCTGACAGCAGCTCTGCTTCGGTAACATAGTCTCACCCCTCCTCTGACAGGGCATGTTCTATCTCTGGATGCTAAATGCTTTGAAGAAAAACACTTGATCTTCAGCAACCTGTTTTGAAAAGGACATGGACCTACAGCTCCTGTCATAGTACGGGTACAGTCTGGGAAATGCTCTATTGAAGTTAATACACACTGAACTGTAGTACTGACAAATACGCTCCTTGACTTAACTGCAAGTATTAATACCAGGCTAGAACTTGTACTTTGCTGGCAGTCAAGACAAAGTTAAATCATTAGCACAGTAGATCACCCTAATCATAGACTGCACCGCAAATTTACATAGTTAAGATTTCACAACTTTATTTTGGGCTAAGTTGTTAGGCAATAGCAGCCCTTCTTGTTAAGCAGTCCTTAAACTCCTCTTTGTTGTTGTCAGCCACCTGAAGGTTGGACTCTGTGGCCAAACTCATTTGGAGCCCTTTCTCCTCTTGGCCAGCTCAGCTAGTTCTTCCTGGATATGCTGGACAGAAGCAACATCTCCTTTCTGTTGTGCCTGCTTGAGAGCTTCTTTGTACACTTGTTTTGCTTGCAGAAAGTCTTCTGTAGCAAGAGGGACAAGTCACGTGGCTAGCCAACTACCTTGCCCGTTTTGAGAGTCCCCTCTGAAGCTGAGCACATGCAAATGACGTGCAAAAGATGACTTGGAACACTTCAAGAACAAGGGAGGTTCAGAAAACATCCAGCATGGGGTGCCAACTGTAAGAGCTGGACAGCAGCAATGATGAGAGGACAAGGTGCTGCTTCAGTACGAAGATCTCATGGAAACGAGTCTCAAGCATGTCTTAACGTCCTTTTAGAACCAGTTACTCTACGTACAGGACAAGGGAAACTAGATTCTCTGGCAACCTTCTGAGTCAGATGCACCAGTACTGGTTTATCTTAGACAGGATCCTTCAGCAGCTGAATTCACTTTGAACGCAATACAAGTTGCCTACACCAACCCTACTACTTAAACTAAAAATAATAACGCTATTGTTCAGTCCTACAGTACAGGTATCTGCAGCCAGCCCAAGCACAGTGACAGAGGCTGGACATTTATTTACTTACCTTTGTGCATCAGAATTGCTGCCAGGTTATTCAGCACCATGTGCTCCTCAGGATGTTGAGTCTCCTTTGCCAGCTCAGCTGCCCTCTTCACATAGGAGTATGCCTCATCGTAGTGCCCCTGAGCATCCAGGACAGTTGCCAGGTCATTCATCAAGACCACAGTCTGCACCAGGACAGAAAAGGAAGCCTCAGAGCAAGACTTGTGTAGAAGTCTGGGGCAGCAGGAGCATCATATTCACACCCCTGTCACACTAGTAAAAGTAGTATTTCCCAGAGAAGCTTCCAATAATACAATGTCTTGTATTTATACATCAGCATGCTTATTCTTCCTGGCAGGAAAACAGGAGCTAATTTAGTGCTGTGTACATTTGATGCCAGCAAAGCTGCTTTTAAGGCTGCCTCATTCCCTAAGAGATTAGCCTTTCTTTCCCTCGAAGTCCAACTACCATTGTACACGTCACCTGTGGATGAGTCTCTCCCTGAACATCATTTGATATCTGCAGAGCCTTCTCATACATGTATCCTTTCTCCCGAGTAGTCCAACTACCATTGTACACGTCACCTGTGGATGAGTCTCTCCCTGAACATCATTTGATATCTGCAGAGCCTTCTCATACATTTTTTGGGCCACTGGGAGCTGGTTAATGTTTAGGAGATAGCGAGCATAGGAGTCTAGGCTCATCCCAAGCAAGAGACGGGTGTTGGCCTTTTCTTCAGCTGCAAATAGAGAGGAGTGGAAGTGATCACTTCTACAAGATCAAGCACAAGTCTCCATCCTACAAGAGCAGGAAACTCATGCAGTGTGAAGACAATGGATTGACATGAAGATGGTGCTTAGGCAATATGGAAAGCAACATCAAGGACAGGGAAATGGACAAAAGATAATGAGAGATGCCTTTGACAGACAAGGCAGTCCCACCTGGTAAGACATCCTCAGGCAAGTCCTTTTGCTTGGCAATCTTCTCCTCTAAGGTCAGGATGCAGAACTCGTAGCCAGCCAGGGCTAATTTGTGCCTGCAAAGTACAACTACTCAGCAAAGCAAGGGTCCTTCCATCCCTGAAGGGACAGACGTGAACACCTTCAATCCCTCATTCTAGAGGGCCTGTCAGACAGCTTTTCCCCTTCACCAGAACCTTCTTGCCCTCAGTGTTCTCTTCTTCATTATGGCCTGGACCCCTCTCTTGACCCATGGGATCAAGGGGTCCAGGCCTTGAGGTGGAGAGGGCCCTCCCTCCCCCCAAACAAGGCCAGCTAAGGCAATCCATGCCAAGGCTCCACTGAAAAATGAAGCTACAAGTTAGCAGCTACCAAGTGCTTCAAAAGCCGCCTCTCCTGCGAGGCGTGCATTTAAGACTAAAAAGAGCCATGTCCTCTATGGCTACTTCTGCCCTAAGCTGGGCAGGTCATAACAGCAATCGCTGTGTTGCATGACAGCGGGTAAGCAAATATCATCCCTGTCGATGGGATCTTGTCACACCAAAGCTTCCTCAGCCACTTTGTTCTTAAAGAGCCCCTGCTTGGCCACCACTGCCACTGTGAAGCTGAGATGAAAGCAAAAGATGCCTTTAGCAGGGAACTCACTGTTTCTGAGCAGCATAGATACTGGCCAGCTTGAGGGACATCTCAAGGATTGCATTGTCATCCTGCCAGGAGGACACACAACACAACTGTTATTCTTCTTGCATCTCCCCAGTAAAAACATTACTTTCCCAGAGAATAAGTTTAGACCTTGAAAATGCCCATCCTGTTGTCTCCAGAGCTGCCACCAGTCCCTTAAAGGACATTCTTGAGAAGCCAGCAAGCTCATAGCTAGCATTGCAAATTTCCAGTAGGAGGATAGCACAATAGACCAAAGAATTGTTACTACTTCGGCTGAAAGCCTTTATCAGAAGAACATACCTCCTTTGTGTCCCCTGCAAGCAAATAGCTCATGCTTGCTTTGTAGAGCTTTTCTGCCTGAAATGAGAATTGTGAAGAATACTGAGGAATGATGGCAGTTAAAACAAAAGATCTCTACTCTTTATGGAGGCAGACTACCGGGAGAAACCTGGCTCACAGTTTGTGGAATTTACATCGTACGTCAAGACCAGTCAGAAGTGAAAGGCTCACCAGAGTCCAACGGTACTGCCAACTAGTAGAGTCCTTTCAGTTTCTACTGAGTTTACCACATCTGCGTGCCTTCAGGCCTTTCCCAGATTCTCCTTGGGACAGCCATCTAAATGCTTGGCTGTGTCATTTGACAGTAAGAAGTATTCCTTCCCTTGCGTGCTGTGTTGGAGCTCAAAATCTAACCATGAAAGCGTCTTTCTTAGCAGCATGTGCTCCACGGGACTGAAGTCCCAAGGCAAATTATTGTGCTTTGGTCTGCAGGATCTCTGCCTCACAACTCTCAGTATGCAGCCTGTCACAGCATGCCACACCTTCAGGATCTTGGATGTGAGGAGACCTTGCGCTAGATGTCAGCCTCTTAAAATTCAGAGGGGGGAAAAAAAAAAAGCGGAGTTACTCACATTGTCCAGCTGTCCCCGCATGAAGGCCACGTTTGCCATCTGGAAGAGAGGGGCAGTGTTGAAGCTCCACAAAGGCGGCGGGCACTAGCCTCAACACAACTGCTTTTCCCTCTAGCTTCGTATTTCCTTCATATTCTCCCCCGACGGGAACTGCAGCCCCACGGCGACTTCCAGCAGGGACCAGAGGGGAGGTGGGCCAGCCCCGAGCAGGGGGGCGGCCAGCCCGACCCCGGCCACCCCCCCGGGGCCTTACCATGCTGTAGGTGTAGACGATGGCTTTCCTGTTATCCGACTGGTGCGAGAGCCGCAGGGCTTGGTGCAGAACCTGCTCGGCCTCCCCCAGCTCGCCCTTCATGACGCTGAGCTGCGGGGAGAGAGGGAGAAGCCGAGGGGCTGGTCGCGGCCAGGGCCCACCCTGGCGGGCTCCC